TTTCTGGCAGTCTGCAAAGGAGTTTTAGGAGGTCTATGGAATACCAGATGCTGCTGTATAGATGTTTAATGCTATAAGTTTCATTACTGTACCTTTAAATACCCCAAGAGCAGAAGGCAGGCTGCAGCTGCTTCTAACGTCCCTTTGACTGGAGATGAGCCACACATTGTGCAATATGGAGGTGGACAGGTGAGATGGGTGGGGAGAGACTGGGCAGGAGGAGCTGTATCTGCTTCATTTGCCTCACTGGGCACTTAAGGATGGTTGAACATGGTCAGTCTGAGTAAGTGTGCTTTAGTGGTTTGAGCATCAGACTAGGATTCGAGGAGACCAGGGTTCGAATCCCTGCTCAGCCACGGAAACACACTCTTTCAGCCTTAAAGAAAGGCAATAACAATCCTCCTTTCAACAAATCTTACCAAGAAAATCCTAGAGAAGGATGACAATATCTCAGAATTGACTTGAAGGCACATAACAACAACAGTGGAACATGGATCCCCAGATTATAATCTGGTAATCCTACAAACTAAGAGTTGGGGAGCTGATGGCACTCCATATGCTTAGACTCCAGTTCCCATCATCCCCAGCCAGCTTGGCCAGTAGCGTTGAATGAGAAGAGCAGGAATTCCTTTAGATCTGGAAGGACTTGTCCTCCCTGTAGCAAAACAGAAGGCTGTTCCTCCCCACCCACCCCAGGTATTTCACCGCAGGCACTCATATTTCTGGCCAACTCAACAGGTACAAATCGTATTGCTTAAAAACAGTTGACTGCTTGACTGGTGATGGTAATTTTGACAAAGTGATTAGATAATGTGTGGCAATGTTTTAAATGTCATAATGATTCAAATGACAGCCTTTCCCCACTTTGGAGATGGGATTCATGCCAATCTTCAGGTGTTGTTAAACTCCAGCTCTTGGCAGTCCTAAATAGTATGGAATGCTGGGAGCTGCAATCCAACATCTGGAGAGCTACAAAATTCTCACCTCTTCCTTACTCTTACAGATTGTGCAACTGGTGGCCTGCTTCCCTTCATCCAGCCATAACCATGTAGGTGACAGTTGTGGCATTTGTATCTAAGGCTCAGCAAGTACAGTTGGCCCTCTATATCCACAGATTCTTTATCCACCAATTCAACTATCCATGGCTTGGAAAAAAAAATTTTTTTTAAATTCCCAAAAGCAAACCTTGATTTTGCCATTTTATATGAGGGTCACCAGTTTATTTCACCATTGCATTTAATCGGATTGCAGCATCCACAGATTTTGTTATCCACAGGGGCTCCTGCAACCAAATCGCAGTGGATACCAAGGGTTTGTGTGTATGAGGGTCTTCAAATTCCCTGTTATGGCAGCCCTTTGAATTTTATAGGAGTTTTTTTTGGGGGGGGCAAGGATTACTCAGAGGTGGTTTGCCATTGCCTTCCTCTTAAATATAGCCTACAGCACCTGGTATTACTTGACTGTTCACCCCGCTACGTACTAACTAGACCTGACTCTGCTTAGATTCCAGCTTGTATATATAGCAGTGGTATTCCCAACTTGCAATGTGTTACAGACAACCAGGCTTCAAAGCAGCTGAGATGTTCTTTTGGTTGTCTCTTTCCTGTCTGCTTGAGGTCTGCAAAGCCTAAAACCAACCTCAGCCTCTGGAGCTGTCAACACTACATTTGCAAAACAAACAAAAAAGGCAATAAGAGTGTAGATTAGAAACTACCCCTGTAGCTGAGGCAGTGAAAACCACAGAATGCCACATACTGGAAGCTTTAAATATCACAAGGGACAAAGTTAACACCATCCCATTGTGTACGGAGTTGTCAATGAAAAGAAGAGATTACTCTTATTTTATATACAATGGCCTTTTACTACACCTCTGGGATATGAAGAGAGGAAAAGCTGCCCATAAAAAATTCAGCTCCCTCCCCAGAATTCCCTTGATCCACATTTCACTTCTCTACTATTCACTTCTCTACTGTTTAATTGTAATTTTAGCATTGGGTTGGGGGGGCTGGGGTTGGGAAGGGACTAATTTTTGAATTTTATTGTATTTTTATGTATTTTTATTGCTGTAACCCTCCGAGATTCCTTGTGATTGGGCGGGCTATAAATAAATAAATAAATAAATTATTATTATTATTATTATTATTATTATTATTATTAGTTGGGAGATAAGCCATTGCAGGGTGGATCTATCAGTGGGACTGACATGTTATTATTTGTATGTGAAAAATCAGTTTAAAGTATGGGACAGATTGGAAAAGTTACTGCATAGCAATGAAGAAGCATAACATTTCCTCAAAGCACTTTTCAAAAAAAAGCCGAGTCCTGAAAAGGGAGGTGGGGTTGAAATTGCAAAATCAGGTCTCCAAGTACATTTGTACATGGCCTTTCTTGGAAGGCTTATGCTTACTCTTTAATATTCCACAAATGAAAATAGCAAGGGACATTCTTCTGTATCTGGAACGCCCATTCTCCCCCCTTTCACACAGGATCGCTGCCTTGAGGCTGCTGTCCTGTACACATTTATCCAAAAATAAGTCTCATTGCACTTAGTGGAACTGGCGTATGAATAGGCATGACTAGGACTGTAGCCCGAATCCTTCCTCTCTCTCTCTCTCCCCCCCCCCCCGCTCCATCTCTAAAAGCTTTCGCTCTGCCTACCATACACTGAATTCATTTAGTCAAATAGCCTTATCTGCCATATGACTACAGGGAAAAGGGTCCTTGTTCTTTTTGATTATAGTATAAGAACAGCAGCATCATGAGTCCATTGGACCAGATAAATTCTTTATATGCTTATATTATTTGTAGAGGTTTTCTTACACTCTGCTTTGAGAAAGTTTTGGGAACATTTTTTAAAACAAAGGAAATTATGTAAGCTGTACTAACAGCTGAAAATAACATTTTAACCTGACATAGCGTGCATCTGCACTGCAGAAATAATCCAGTTTGACACCACTTTAAATGCCATGGCTCAATGCCGTTGAATTCTGGGGACTGTAGTTTGTTTCTGCTCTAGTGCCACAACAAACTACAATTCTCAGAATTCCATAGCACTCAGTCATGGCAGTTAAAGTGGTGTCAAACTGGATTATTTCTGCTGTGCCAATGTAGCTCCAGGGCCAAGCTAGTCAAGGCATCGTTCACAAATTAGCAATTTCAAAATTAGCAGTCCTAGTCTCCCAATTAACAAGCTTATCGCATGGCACTTAAGGAACAGGAATGCAATGGAACGCAAGGTAACGGAACGGGGCAAAAATGCATTTTACTACTCGGGAGAATGCCACCGATGCCGCCGGGAGTCCCTGATCTGTTCCCATGCAGTAAAATGCATTTTTGCTCTGTTCCGTTCCCTTGCGTTCCATTCCATTCCTGTTCTTCGAAGTGCCGTGCGATAAGCTTATATGATTGGAACCACTACAAAGGGAGGCAAAGGGTTAGAGTCTACTTCTGTCTTTTTTGGATTTCCAGTCTTGCAATACCCTCCTCTCACACGCCTATCATTTACTTCTACAAAGCAGTTGCTCATTGTGCGAAGGGAGACTGGTCTACTTTAGTCCTCATATGGTAGCCAGCTGTGCATTCAAGATGATTGCCAGCTGTGTACCAGTTTAGGCACTAACACTGTTTACAGCTCTGTGCGGTACAGACATCACACAGGGCCTTTACAGACTGCCAGAAATAATGAAGCCTGAGTCCACTTTAGCTACCCTGGCTCAGTGCTAGGGAATCATGGGAATTGTATTTTTCTCTGGGACATTGAGCCTTCTCTGTCAGAGAGCTCTGGTGCCACAATAAACAGTCCCCATGATTCCCTATCAATGAGTCAGGGCAGTTAATGTGGATTCAAGCTGCATTATTTCTGGCAGCCTGTAAAGGCCCTGTGTTTCTAAATGCTTAACTCAAGCATTTTGAAATTACAGCAATGCTAGAAATTTGGGGACTAAAGGAACATTTCATTTGGGGGGAGCAGAATTATTATTTAGGTGTCAGTGGCCTTAATCCTTCCTCCTTGCCATAGGTACACAACGGATGGCAACTCTGATAATTCAGACTACCAAATATACATGCTCAAAAGCATTCTGCTGGAGCGTCAACATTCATTTTTGTTTAAACAAACAACACTGTTCAGTGGCAACACTTCTTTGGATGGATGGATGGAGAATCCCAACAGCTACAATGTCCTATAATACTGGAACTGTAATTATGGTTCTTCTTTCATATTCTTGATCATATGAGGGTTCAACTCTTTGGATCTACAATGTTGGAAAAAGCATATCTATCCAACAGGCCCTGAGTAGCAAGCAAGAAGAGACTGGTATACATTGCTGCTACAGTTGACTCTCCATATCTACAGATTGTTTATCCACAGATTCAACCATCCACAGCTTGAAAACACACACACACACACACACACACACACAACACATACTCCAAAAAGCAAACTTTGACTTTGCTATATAATTGCATGATTTCACTAGGCCTATGGTGGCGAACCTATGGCACGTGTGCCAGAGATGGCACACAAAGCCATTTTTCAGGGCACGCAGATGGCTGGAAAGAGGAGGAATAGGTGCACCCCTGTTCCTCTTCTTTCCCCCTTGTCCTCCCTGGGCCTTCAGCTGTCTCCGGAGAGGCACCTGAAGGCCCAGGAGGGTGGGGAGGGGGGAGAAGTCCCACTCCAGAAGTCCCACCTCCAGAAGGTGGAAATCCCCACCCGAAGGGTGGAAGTCCTGCTCTCCCACCGCTGCTGCTGCTGCCTGGAAGTCCTACCCCTGCACTCGGTCCCTAAAAGGTTCGCCATCACTGTACTAGGTCATTCTATATAACAGGACTTGAGTATCCATGGATTTTGGTATCCAAAAGAGGTTCTGGAACCAAACCCCAGTGGATACCGAGGGCCACTGTACTGTGTGTATATGTGCCTTCAAGTCTCCTATGAACTGATGGAGACCCCATGAATTTCATAGGGTGTATCTTAGGCAAAGAATACTCACAGATGGTTTTGCTAGTTCTTTCCTCTGAAATAAAGCCTACAGCGCCTGGTATTCATTGCTGGTCTCCCATCCAAGTACTCACCAGGGCTGACCCTGCTTTGGTGCCTTTGGGATCTGGTGCCTTTAGGGTATTGAGACCATCATTGCTACTACTGGTGCCATAAATATCTCACTTTTTAAAAAAATAAAAAAGGCATTGGGTGGATTAGGGAATAGGAGGGCTGGCTAGACATTAGTCTCCCACTGTGTCAAACAAGCACAAAGTAAGAGTGGGCAGAAGGCAACTGAACTCTCTCTCATCCTCCAACCATTTTGCATCCCAGCATCTTTAGCAGCATTGCAAGGGATTTTGTGGCCCAGAG